GCCGAAGATGGGGAGGAGCCGGAACTGGAGGGGGTGTCGCTGGAAGTTATCCTGACGGTGATCGCCATCCTGGTGGTAGTGATCTGGGAACTCACCAAGAAGGCGTGTGGTCTGGGAATGAAGAAATTTGAAAGACCGGTTGAAGACCCCGATAAAGAACTGGCAAGACCGCATGAAGAGGCCAAGAGCCCACCGAAAGAGACGGCGGAAGGCGGCTCCGTGAACATCAATGTTGCTAATAAAAAGAAGGGGCAAGTGGTTGGTGTTGACAGAGCTACCGGCAGCTCAAGAGACAAGGACTTGGGAACGGACAGGACAGCGACTGGAAATAGGCCCTGGACGGGTGCAACTTTGCCTAAGCAGGCGCCCAAATCCTTGAAGGCGATCCGACCTCAGGCAAAGGCCTCGAGGGACGATCTGGTAGTAGTGTGCCATGTGCGAGATGGTGCTGGAGGTCGAGTTCCGGTGCGGGCAACAAGAGCGGTGCTGGGGACGGAGAGGATGGAATACTACCGCGAGATGGAAAGAAAGTCAGAAGAGCGGTGGAGTTCCTTCAAGCTCGTGCTCGAGGTGAACCTCTTGGGGGTCTTCAAGGGAGCCTATGGAGGGCCGATGAGCATTTGCGAGGAGGTCCCATCGAGGTGGTGGAGACGAGGAGCCAGGGCAGAGTTCGGGTGAAGGAGGGTCTGCAGAGCCAAGCAGGGACGTCATGCACGGCAAGAGCAGCGGCTGGGAAGGTGGTGCTTGGCGAAGACAAGGAGTGAGGACCGCACGGTCTGGGGGCCGGTAGGCCGTTGTGGGTGCAATAGACACCCAGGGAGTGTGAATCCCCGACTTTCATGGCTCAAGAAAAAGGAACCGTGCGGTTTAGCGCTTGTACTACCAAAAGGGGACAACCCTCTACTGTGGATGGTTGCGAAATCCGCTTTTCGCACCCATGCTTCAGAACCCTAAGATAATGATGCGATTCCCCAGTAAGATGCCAACAAACGTGATGCCTGGACCTTCAAACTCCAGCAAATTTCTGGGTGTTTTATACGATTTACCGAATTGTGGTTTAGCACAATTGGGGCAAAAACACATACGATTTGCGTCGTTTCCATTCGCGCATTGGCCATACAAAGCAAACACACCTCGCAGCACTGGCCAACGCGCCAGTAAACACCATAAAATGCCTTGATCATTCAAAACTACGACTTTTTCTGATTTGCGGGATTTTGCGGGATTTTGCGGGGGATTTGCGGAGATTTGCGGGCGTTTTGCGGTCGAAATGAGTACGCTTTTTCTGCACTCCACAACTTTTTCGACCGCCGTTGCATGTTTTGACAAACTTGCGGGCTGCATCAAGCCGTTTATCCCTCAAAGCCTCCTTTAATCTGTCAAAGGCTGCGAGCCTTGCAATAGTGTGCTTTTTAGGAGTTTTGGGAGTTTCCGTTTTTTGCTGCAAAAAACGCTACGATTTCCCGAATATCCAGTCAAAGGCGGACACAACGTTGTTTTTTTCAGGAGGACGAAGGTCCAGGTGGTTTCAACCATGGTTTCAAAGTGACAAGGGAGTTCATCCATCCATCTCCTTTTCAAGGTTTGGGTAGAAAGTAGATGGCGATTCCTGGTTGACCTGGATGTTTCACAATCTTCTCGCGAAATCCGTCTATTTCCCAAAAGGACACCAAGGGTTTCCTCCATTTCCTTTTTTGGAGCCTCCAAAAGTGGCAGTTTCAATGGAAACCACTCACAAACTGATCAACTCTTGAAGGGGAAATGCAGTGGCCTCTGGACGAGGGAATAGCGGGATGACATGGGACAACAGGGGGGGGGGGGTAGGGAGGGAGTTGAATGGACTGTATTATTGAATGGTCTGTATTATTGATCAAACTTGCGGGAGTTGAATGGACCCCCCATATCTTCCAACGGGGGGGTTATCCAAAGCTGATGGGATGGGATATGGAAGATATCCCGCCGGAAGTGGGGAGGGTTCCTCTGAGGGGCGGTCATTGAGATTAGGTCGGGGGATTTGGGGTTGGCAAAGTACAGTGGATGCTTCTCTTGGGGGGGATCGGATTTTGTATCAGAAAAGTTGAGCGACATAGTAGGTTGCCACCCAGGTTTAAAGCAAGAACCAGTTGGATAAGACCACCCGCATCTGGAGGCGGCGGAACCCCCTTAGCATATGTGTCCTTTTTGGTTGATTTGGTCGAACAATAGAGTGCGATTCCTGGTTCACCTGGTGGTTCAAGCAACTACCAGGGAAACCCATCTATTTTCAACCAAAAAGGACACCTATGGATATGGGGGTGTTCCCCTTCAAAAATCATGGACACCCCGATGTTCATAAACAGGGTTTTTTCAATGCTCCGGGGTCAACAGTAAACGTCACCGCTTATTTTTTGGTTTGAGGATCGGTGGCCTTTTGACGGACTACCGCTACTCCGCCGAGCGCCTCCGGAAGGGTCTCTTCCGAGCCGCGGACGGATTGGGCGGATTCATCACTTTTGGAGGGACCCCCCCCTAATAGGACGGGTTTATTAATCCTGGGTCAACATTAGTCCTGCGTTTCCAGGTGGCCTCGGGGCATGGGCCAAGGAGTGATTCTTGGGTGCGGCAGCATCTACAACCACTCCTCCGAACCCAACCTGCGGTATCGTCTGGCGCGAGCGGCGCGCGCCCGCCCTGCGCAGAAGCTCAGTGCACCCGTGGTTGCAAGTGGAGAGATGCCAGATGGTCGTGGTTTCCCTTGTTGTGGTGCCCAGGATGGATTTCCAACTAGGATTAGGGATCCTCCCCATTTTGAGCACCCTTGAGCAGTTTTTTGTTTTTTTTGCAACAACCTCAAAAAGGATACCCTCAGCAAAGACACACACACACACACAGGCCCAACATATTGAGTTCAGCCACAGGGAAAGGCAAAGCCTGACAGGAAGGCAAGTAGGTGCTCCTGTTTTGAGAAAGCAACACCCGACTTGGATCCAGCAAGAACATGTCGACTAGGTAGAATTTTAATCGGATTCAAGCCCAAAGCTTCCGAATGATCCAATCCTTGGCTTGCAAACCCGCTAAAGTCGGGGGACCTCGTGCCAACTGAAGCTCCAGGATTTGGCCCGTCGAAATTTTATGATACCGAAGATTAGGACCTCTGCGAAGCCTTCCGACGCGGCAGCCTGGAAGACCTCGCCTTTTCCTCAGGATAGCCATCAAAACGATCCCAGCCATAAGCTCCGGATATCCGCCTTAGTTCTTTACATGGTTCTGGGTCGACCATTTTGGTACTTTTGATTGTGACTCAGGTTTGCTTCTTCGCCAAACGGGACATTGCCGCCGGGGAGGAGCTGCTGCTTCTCGGCGGGGCCCTGGTTCGGCCGTCGGTGGTTGAATGTTCACACTTTGGATGTAGCTATCGAAAGTCAACCAAGCCCGGTCTCACTTGGTCATCATGTTGACCCCATATTGATCAACCCCAGTTTATTAACAGGGTGTCTCTGGGCTTAGTGGGGAATCATCGCTTTTGGAGGGGAACACCCCCATATTTATACACTGGGGTTGATTAATATGGGGTCAACATCAGCCCACTTACGGATAATATTATAATCGGTTTCATTTGACCAGCCGTTTCCTCCCCCAGCGCTTGGTCCACCCCAGTGACGTGCGCGCTGAGGATCTCCTATGGCAACGGCTGGTGGAGCTCCCGAGGGGTCTATGCCGCGCAGCCTGCGCCGCGGCTGCTGCCGCCGCCGCGGACGAGGCGGGGCCGGGGTTGAGACTGGCTCACCTTCCCCAGTTGGTTTGTTTGTTTGGTTTTCTCCCAACAGCTGGAAGCTTTGGGGTCTAGCCCGGATAGGCTCCGGGGTGGGCCGGGGCGGCTTTGAGGCAAGGTTCCACGAGGGTTCCACCAGGGTTCCACGAGGCATGCTGTTGGGGATATCACCTGAGCTTATTTTGCTTGTTTGGTTTAAGGTTGACCCTAGATGAATAAACCCCTGTTGATTGATTTGGGCCATGGGGGTGTTCCCCTTCTAAAACCAGGGACACCCTGATGTTCAAAACAGGGGTTTACTCCGGAGTCAACATTGAACGTCACCTCGGGAATTTTATAAGATTCTCCTTTTGGTGGGTGGAGACACAGGACGGTCCTATTCTGATTGGACGGGAGCATTTACACTGATTGGAGGGAGGGAGGGATGAAGGAAGAAGGGATCCTGCACTTGCATCCACAGCATCACCACCTCCTTTTGCCGAGAGAAGGGGGGGGTAAGTGGGGGCCAACCCCAATCTAGCCAATGCCGAACACCTCGCCAAGCCGGCACCCACCCAAGCTGCTCCTAAAATTCACCAGGAATTGCATGTAAACCTATCAAAAGCAAGCCCAGCCCAAACCCACTAAGCCCATCCTAAATTCATGCTCAACCACCCCATAAACCCGACACCAACCACCCTAAAGTGCCTAAAAGGCCTCGCACACCCACTATCAACCGACCCTAAACCGACCTCAACCAACCTCACACTGACCCATGATGCCCAGCACGCGTGCCGGTTCAGTTGTTTTCTGGGCATAAGTCATTGACTATGCCATTTTTTGGATGCCTGAGTTTTTCTTCTTCTGACCCATAGGTCACACTCGCTTGGGCTTCCGGCTAACCCGTCAGGAAGCATGCACATGTGGGATAGGCCTGACACACTCTGGCTCTCCCTGCAGGCCGCGTGGAAAAGTGCGAGTCGGGTGAGGCATGGTCAGAGTCAAGGCTCTCAGCGTAGTCAACTGCTGTGGTGAGGGGCAGCCGCCGCAAGACTCTTGCGACACATCTCTGCTTTCTGTTTTGTGTCAGGACGCCTTGCTGGACGTGCTGCAGGCGGGGAGCAAGAAGGGCCTTCGTCAAGGGTAGCAGCAAGCTTCCAATGCAGGAGGGGGAAGCAGACGTTGTTCCAAGCCTCGCCCGCTCAACTGAAATGCTGTGCATGGTTCTGCTTTCAGCCGTTTGCATCCCAAGCGAATCTTCGCCGCCGCCATGCGTGGGCGGGCCTCTCCAATTGCACGCGCGGTGTGCGTTGCTTTGGCCACTTTATGGAGCGATTTGGCACAGCAGTCATTTCCGTCGGCCCCGGTGTAGTCGTGCATTGCACGTTCTGTGTGTGTCTGCATATGCGTTTGGGTACAGAAACGGGGAGCTAGAGAGAGAGAGAGAGAGAAAGAGACAAGTGAGTGCAATTCAGTACGTTGATAAATGGATACATGAACGAGTGAAGAAAGACAAGCAGCAAAGAAAAGACAATAAAGCAATATATCATCCAAAGACACAACATGACATATATAAGAACAAAAAGAAACGAAAAGGAACGACGCGAACAGAAAGGAACAAAACAGAACATGCAGGGAACAACCCATAAACGGCGATACACGAGAGATAATGACGAAACCTGGTTGTAAACCAAACAATACATACATGATTAAGAAAGACCGACAAACATAAACAGCAGCAGTCAACAAATCAGGAAATACATACAGCAAGAAATATTTATAGAAACATCAAATGAAGAAACCATGATCAATATAGAGAGTTAGAGAGAGAGAGATAGAGAGAAAGACAGAAAGACAGACAGAGAGAGAGAGAGAGAAAGACGGCTGAAACAACTAGACAACCTTCACTGGATTTCGGGAAACCTGCGTGAGGATGGTTGAGAAAGTCATGTACTTTCCCGCCCACGTTGGACATCCGGAGCCCGTCTCCCTTTTTGGGGGGTTCCGTTTCCTGGGGAGGGGCCAGACAGGCAGGCAGACAGACAGACAGACAGACAGACAGACACACAGACACACAGAAAGAAAGAAAGAAAGAAAGAAAGAAAGAAAGAAAGAAAGAAAGAAAGAAAGAAAGAAAGAAAGAAAGAAAGAAAGAAAGAAAGAAAGAAAGAAAGAAAGAAAGAAAGAAAGAAAGAAAGAAAGAAAGAAAGAAAGAAAGAAAGAAAGAAAGAAAGAAAGAAAGAAAGAAAGAAAGAAAGAAAGAAAGAAAGAAAGAAAGAAAGAAAGAAAGAAAGAAAGAAAGAAAGAAAGAAAGAAAGAAAGAAAGAAAGAAAGAAAGAAAGAAAGAAAGAAAGAAAGAAAGAAAGAAAGAAAGAAAGAAAGAAAGAAAGAAAGAAAGAACGAAAGAACGAAAGAACGAAAGAAAGAAAGAACGACAGAACGAAAGAACGAAAGAACGAAAGAACGAAAGAACGAAAGAACGAAAGAACGAAAGAACGAAAGAACGAAAGAAAGAAAGAAAGAAAGAAAGAAAGAAAGAAAGAAAGAAGGAAAGAAAGAAAGAAAGAAAGAAAGAAAGAAAGAAAGAAAGACAGAAACAAAGAAAGAAAGGAAGGAAACAAAGGAAAAAAGAAAGAAATAAAACATAAATAAATAAATAAATGAATGAATGAACTAAGAAAGAAAGACAGAAGGAAAGAAAGAAAGACAGATGGAAAGAAATAAAGAAACAAGGACAGAAATAAAGAAAGAAATGAAGAAAGAAAGGAAGAAAGGAAGGAAGGAAGGAAGGAAGGAAGGAAGAGCTAAACAAATAGATAGATAAGCAAAGAAGAAATACAGAAAGGATGAAATACACAAAGAAATAAGACAGCATCCAGAAGGAAATAAGCCAAGACATAATTTAGACAATAAATAAATATATAGATAGCTAACTAAAGAAAGACAGAGCGAAAGAAAGAAAGAAAGGAAGAAAGGAAGGAAGGAAGGAAGGAAGGACGGAAGGAGGGAAGGAAGGAAGGAAGGCAGGAAGAACGCAAGGCAGGAAGGAAGAAAAGAAAGAAAACAAGAAGGAAATATAAGAAGGAAGGAAGAAAGAACGTGCAACATACACAAACAAAGAACGACATAAAGAAATAAATAAGCAAAGAGAGACGTACCGGAAGACACATAAAAGACGTAAAAGAGAGAGAGAGAGAGAGAGAGAGAGAGGCAGATACAGATTGAGAGTCAAAAAGGCATACATATATATATTTAGAGAAAGAGAGACACAAAGAGGGACAGAGGGAGAGAAAGATAGAGAGAAATAAAGAGAGAGAGAGAGAGAGAGAGAGAGAGAAAGAGAGACATAGCGAGAGGCAGAGGGAGAGAGATGATTCTACGGCCTCATTGTGCGCTTGCTGCGCTTGTGCTGGGCACATGGCCCTTCTAGCATTGTGACACATGCCAACTTGTGCTTCCTAAACTGTGGGGAAGTCCAATTTGAAGCAACTGGCATATGGCTGGCAGCGTTCCAAGGAACTCTCACGGCTTCCCAAAATCTCAGTCAAGGCCAAGTGTAAGAGCGTGAGCGCGGCTTTGGGTCGCAGCTCAGGTGGTTTCTGGGATATATTGCAACTTTACATTTACAGGTTCTTATAGTTCACCTTTTTGGATGATTTGAAACATCAGCTTTTGACTCATGTGAAAACGAGCTTCCTTTTGGTGAGGCGATGTTGACGGCGAGTACAACGATCCCAAGGGAGACCAGTAAGCTGAGGTCTACCAGCACTTTCCTCCCGCTCCTTTGTTGGTTTGAAGCGCGAGCGCTCGTGGAAGACGAGGCGCAAAGTCGGCGAGAAGCTCAAGCGTAAGACCAAACCTCTCCCCTGATTTGCACAGAATCGGGACCTCCTTTTTGAGGTCTACGTTGGCAGGGGAGTAATCCAAGGTCAGCTTCATTCAGCGACCTCGGACAGGGCAGGGACGTGCTTCCCAATTTTCCTCGTGGCGTGTGCTAAACATGCCCCCCACCCCCCGAAAGTGGCTCGATATGGGTATTTGTCCTGCAAACGTGGACCCTCAAACAACGCTGTTTTTGGGCATGGCGTTGGGCTTGGAATAGGTTTGGGTCTTTTGTTCTCGCTTTGCATCGGGGTCGAATCGGTCATTGGTTTGTAGCACTGAAATCATCATTTGGAAGTTACTTTGCTGAACAGCTCTCCCATGTCAGAATGTACCATCCGAACATTGGTACTCTACATATGGCTCCATATCGGGAACCCATTGCCAAGTTTGCATTGGTTGCAGTTCCAAACAACCGATCGAGCAACCACACAGTCTCACCGCATCACATCAGACGATGCTAGTAGGATCCAAGACAAGCTTTCATGCATATTGTATAGTGATTACAGGGTAAGTGCTGTAAGTCGTCCCGGGTTGATCTAAGTCCTCCCGGGTGAGTGTGCCCGTTGTGTTTGTGGATGTAAGGATGGTTGTCTCAAGCATGTCATTTTCTGAAATCGCATAATTCTGTGCCGCGCGCATGCAAAATGTATGATGTTCTACTTGAAGTATCCTGACAGAAAGTTGCCCATGAGATCCCAGATTCATAACACCAACAGTTGGCCGGCTTCCATGTGCCGTGTGCATGCGTGTATGTTCACTGCCACTGGGTGGTTCTCTCTTCTCGTGCCGCAGCACTTGAAGTTGTGCCACAAGCGGAAGCAATCTTCATTGGGATGAGGGCACGGCTCACCCGGCGCTCGCGCGGCACTCGCGCAGAGTCGCGTGGCACTCGCGCCGGCAGCCCTTTTGTCGGGTGTTCCGGCCCGGGACCGGTTGTTTTTTTACTAGCCCTGGCTTGGCTTAGCCGGGGGCTGGCTGGTTGGTCCGGTTACTTGGTGTCAGGGCTGCGTATTAGCCGTGATGCGGTGAAGGATAAGAACCCTTTAATTGCAGTGTGCCCAACAGGGTTTTGCCCGGGAAAAGCATTCAACATGAACCCAAACCAGTGAGTTTTGAGCATGTGCGTCAGTGTGCGGTGAATTCTTGAGGCATTGTGTTTTGCAAAAAATGGGGTGACTTAAAACGCATGGGGTGACTTAAACGGATATGCGTAGTTCCAAGCGTCTGGGGATGGCTGGGGTGACTTAACGCGACGTGGGGTGACTTATGACGCCCGCTTGTATCGCCCAGCTGTTGCTTCCGAGGGATATTCAAACTCTACAATATTTTGAGTGTGCGATTGCAATTATGAGGGTAGGCAGCACTTTTTTGGTTTGGAATCCATTTGATCATTTGGTTTTCTTTTGCCTTTGTTGCAGATTTGTCGAATTCAGAGAAGATAACAGGTGAGAAGTTCGTGATCCCGGTTGGTGTGGAAGCAAGTTGTCCGAGTCGGATCTATTCCTAAAGCTAGGGATCTATGCCTTCCAGTTCTCCCCTGTAGGTGTCGAAATGGACCTGAGCCAGAGGCAGGACTTTAGTCTGCTTTGATTTCCGGCTCTGTCAACGGTTTTCGTTGCCGCGTTCGGAGCTTTGTCATATGGCAGGGTTGGTGTAAAACATTGTAAGACAACAGCTGCAACCTGGCGGAACTTGAGGGTACCCCTTTTCTGGGGTTTTAAAAGGGAAGCCGAAAGGAAAACCCACAATTTGGGGGGTCCCCGAAAAAAGGAGACCACCAAATCAGCTCCCTTAGGAACGATCCCTGATCAACCCCACTCTGGGCCTTGCCGGGGTGGGCGCACTTCTGGGCCCTTGGGTGGATGCGATCCACAACCAGGCAGGAGACTACGTCCAAAGTGAATTGGAGGGCGCTTCTGAAGGTTACTCACCACTGCTGCTGGTACTACTACTACTACTACTACTACTACTACTGCTACTGCTACTAGTACTACTAGTACTGGTGCTGCTGCTGCTGCTGCTGCTGCTGCTGCTGCTGCTGCTGCTGCTGCTGCTTGCTGCTACTGCTACTTTTTGGGGAGGGGTTCAATTTCAACCACCATATAGAGGGGAGATGTTTCGAGCATGTCACTTGAAGGGACTTTAGTGTTCCTTGTCTAAGAACAGTGCACCCAACTAGCCGCGGACTCCTTTCCAAGCCCCTCGAGTCAAGCCTACTTAAAGGGGCGATCGGGTACTTAGCAAGTGGTGAGCAAGCCATGTTAGTTAAGATGGTTAGTTCCCCACTCGCCCCCCAAGGGCCCCGAATGCCATCGCCCCCTTTTGGCCCCTAGGCGCTGCTTTCCTACGACCTGCTGCCAGTGTCGGTGGCACTGCCGCTGGGCGTGGCCAGGAGCTCCTTGCTGGTGCCACCGCTGCTGGCGCTGGCCTACGCCCTGCTTGGCGCCGTGCTGCCGTCGGCCCTGGCTGACATTCGGCTGTGGTTGTCAAGACCGTTTTGGGATCCCATTTTGGTTGGTAGGTGAAATCACCACCCATTTTAGGACCTATGTTTAGGTGCACCACCCATTTTAGGACCCATTTTAGTGGGGATTGGTTGATGTTCACTGGGGGTACGATTTGGATTTTGACACATGGCCGAATCGCCTTTTTTGGGGGGAAATGCCCTCGCCCGCGGAGATGGCGCACCTGACAGAAAAAAACACCACTCCGCTTGCCCGAAATGGATCGGTTTTTCAGATATCCCTCCCACCGATTGAAATGAAATCTCAGAGGGTCCGGTGTTCCATGACCCCATCCCCCCTGTCGGGTTCCATCTTTATTGGTGTGAGGGTACCCTCAAATATTGCCCCTTCTCTGGAGGCATTGGTGCCGCGGAAGCCGCGGGAGCCGCGGGAGCCGCGGAAGCCGCTTGTTCCGCTTCCCCCGCTGCCACGGGCGCTGCTGGCGGTAGCTTCCACTTGTTTCATCATCAAAAGCAGCGAGCTGCTGAGTCACTTCGATTCCTACTTGGCGTGGTCGCACTGCCAGACTTAGATCATTCTCTTTTCCTCAAGCCCCTTTGGGCTGGTTTAAACATCACCTAAAGGGGACCAGCTTAAGGTGAGCCTTCTTTTTGTAGGGTCTTGTTTGTAGAGGAAACAACCTTTCCAAACCCTCTTGGGTTCGCCCCCCACTAAAAAGCCGAGAATCTTGGGGTTCTTAGAACCCCTCTTGGGGTGGATGAACATCCATTTGCCACCTATTTTGATGTTCACCAGGGGTGCAGGGTTTTGACCCACAGCCTTATGGTTCCTAGAATCAAGGGAAAGTGCTTGGTGGTCCAGCCGGGTTCACGGCATGATGGCGCCTCAGCCTCAGGCCAGTGCTCGCATCTTTGGCGCTGCTGCAGTGGGCGTGCCTCGATGGGCGCCTCTCCTCTCTGTTTCTGGCGCTTCTGGCGGGACTTTGCGGGCCTTTGGCAGAGCTGCCGGTGACTTCACGCGGTATGTCTCAGTTGTTTTTGGCTCGTTTGTTGCTATGGGTTCTGTTCACTTAAACGCGGGCGGCCTTTGTTTGGTAAGCTAGTGGACTGCAAGAAACGAAGCCACATGCGAACCTCCCACTGATTGGGCAGGTGATGTGGCTCGGAGCGTGGCACTACACAGCTCCGGACTACTGGCCCCTGGCTGTCCTTGGTTTCGGCCCAGGCGTGCCTTGGGCCGGCCTGTCTATCCTCACTGGGCCCTGTTATTTCGCCGTCACCACCGACGCCATTGCGCTGGGCCGGCTCTTTGCGCGCCTTTAGAGGGCTGAGATTGGTGCGGAAAGAGGGGTCTTGGAAAGCCATCGAAGCACCAAGACCTACATCCTGAACCTGGCAGAGATGGGCCGAACGCGAACGAGAACGCGCCACGCGCAGGTCCTCGGGTCCCAGGTCCCAGCGTGCCAACTAAAAGCCGTGGAAAGCGCATGGAAAAAGGTGTGAGTTCAAAACTCAACATACGCCCAGCCCCGAGTTGCTGCACAAATATGAGATTCGTCCAGAAGTCTGGCATGGGAGAAGCACCATTTCCCGAGTGCAAGAAACGCACTTGTGCACATGGAGAAGTCATGTGTCAGCCATTGTGTGCTCGCCGGGCTTCTCGCCCAGGTCCGTATCTCGCGAAAGTGTGCACGGAAGCTCTTCCGAGTCCTGGCGCCTTTGCTGCAATCGGGAGGCTCCAGGAACCCCAAACCCAAGCACCTCCCGCGACCCACATCCCTGACCGCTACATCCCTGAACATCATTTGGGGTTAGGTCTTGGGTCGGAAAGAGATAGGTTGGATCGGCTCTTTCGAACATGCGGATCTTGCAACTGAACCCCAACCCCTTGCCAGAAGAAGTTCTGTAGGCCTCAGCGCCCAAGAAGGTGGCAGACATTGGTGCGAGCGCCCAGAGCTTTGCAGAGACGTCCATGGGACCCCCCCCAAAAAACAAAAAAACATTGTGGAAATATGGTTTCCCACCCGAAAGTAAGGCCTGTTTCTCTTAAACATCCTTGAAAGACCAGTTGTGCGTTCCCGGGTTTGGTTCTTCTGGTTTTCCGGCAAACCTTGCGGTGAGCGTTTGTGTGCGAGTGTCAGTCTAAGACCCGCAGGTGCTGTCGAGGAGATTATCACCTAAATCAAAGACGATCATAGAGGCCACTCACGCAGAAGCTTGTTCTGGTGAAACCACTAGCTTCGCAAATTGCATTCACTCCCGTGAATGGCAGCTGTCCTTGAGTGCGCATGTTCATCGCATGTTGGCTGCTATTTTGTTGGATCTTAAACCTTGCGCCACCAACCAACAGAAAGCACTTTCTTTTTTGGCAATAGACACCCAGGTATCATGTGTCAATCCTTGCACATGACAATTGGCAAGGCACCGACGGAGACACCGATCGCTCGAAGAGAAAGCAAGGCCAAGCCAAGCCAAGCTCAGGCGCCACCACCGGAGCTGCAGCGCAACTCACACAGCTGGCGAGGCCGGCGAAGTGGAAGGGCAATGCTCGTGGACGTCTTGGGGGTTGGGGGTCCCGCAAAAGGAAGGCATTCGTCTGCCACCCTCCGATCGTCAGCTTTGATTGGAGGGAAGGTAGATTTCCCTGGATGGCGGCTTGGATTGGTGGCTTGAACAGTTTGAACTGAGAGGGCCTTCCACCTTTGCCTCACCTCGAAACACCGCGACGCTGCGAAGTGGAAGCGACTTTGACATTTGAGGCACTGCGCCATGCGGAAGACCTGTACGAAACAGCGAGTTCGTCGGAAAGAAACGACGAGGTGGCGCTTGTCCACCGGCTGGATCGATCCAACGCCCAGCGTCCCAACCCAATGATCACTTGGATATCAACAATCCGTATGGCAAATGAACACATCGGTATGGTTCAAAACTAAACACCAGTATATGGACCGCAGGTTCAATCCTTGTTTCCATTGCCAGGGCAAGCCATTGTGACATATTTTTGACAACACCCATATTCCAAGAGATCGGAGCGCCTTCCAGGTCCTGGCAGGGAGGCAGGGTGTCGGTGTGAACAGAGGACTTTGGAGCTCTGAACGAGACATTGGTCCGATGGGTCTTCGCATCTTTTCAAAATCGGGGATTCAAAATTGGGGATTATTCTGTGAAGGGTATTCTTCGTTTACCGTGAAGGGTATTCTTCGTTTAATACAAAGACCCCGCACTCAGGCCGCAAGCTTCCGACATTTTTGCGGAACTCACTCTTCTGTTTCCATTGCCAGTGGCGAAAGGTGTACTTTTTTGACTTGCGTCTTTTTAGCTTCTGACTCACGTTTCTCTCAATCAGCACACAGTTGTCGCTTTTTGCGCGTCGGATGCGCCCCCAGTCTTGCTTCCAAGTTGCAAGTCGAAGAAGAACCTGGCTCCCAAACGGGTGGCGTTGGTTTTTTGGGGTTTTCCTGATCTTTGCGTCCAAACTCAAGCAAGTCAAAGTAGGGTATCTAGGTCCCCCAGTAGTGCCCTTTTACCTTTTTTTGGGGAGGTTCCCCTACTACAATAGACTACAGAAAGAAGGGTACCCTTATTCTAACCTCTCTACTGGAGGACCTAAGTATCCTCCAACAGTCCAAGGTTTACCTCCTCAGCAGAAAAGCGGCAGCCCGTCGCCTTTCGGCGGCCTTTGCAGCCCCCCCCCTCCCATGCCAGGCGGAGCAGCCACCGCCAGGCAGTCCGCCCAGAGACGCCGCAGTGAAATCCCTGCCAAAAGAAGGACGGCCCAAATGAATGGCGGATCAACCTGTGAGGCTTCGTCTCATTTACGGTGATTTTTTTGCGTTCTGCCAGAATGCATGACGCAGGTATCGCAAAGGACAACATGTTCAGCGAAACATGTGCTTGGAACACACGCACTTCCAGCGAGAGAGAGAGACAGGCGGTTCAAGCCTGGCTTGAACCATACCTGTTCTGCATTCGGCGCCACGCATCACTCTATCAGGATCAAACGACCAACGATGTGGGACGGCTTCGCGGAACATGTAGTCATGGCAAGAAATGGTGCGGGGGAATTTAGAACACCACGTCGTGGAATTACCTTAGCCTTTGAAGATTGCCGAGCCTTTGTTTGATTTTGTTGTGGACATGGCAATAGAGTGGCTACTGGATTTCACTAGCTTGGCCATTTTTTCTGGGCCTGCCAAAGCTTCCCCATTCGCTTGCCTTTGGGGTTGTTGTATCTTCTCTTAGATTGCGCAACAGGCCTGCGCTGATGTCCGACTTGTGACTCTTGCTGATTAGGTCGCTTTTACTTATTTAAGGGCTGCCGCCCAGTGCCGCCGACCCCAAACCAGTGTGGGAATGGCTGAAATGAACGGGGCCGCTTCAAAATGGGACCGTAATGGGTCCCCTATTGTAGCCAGGGTGCGGTGCATTTTTGCTTTGCTTTCGCATGAAAATGCACCGCTTTTATGATGATGATGATGATGATGATGAACTGACATGATAATCATCATGACGCATCCTCAGCATCACCAGCAGTCATCATGATAATAATGTCCACGCATCTTCTGCATCTCAAATCGGCTCTAATGGGACTGATGATGATGATCATCATTAGCACCGTGATGATGATGATGATGATGATGATGTTAATGATGATGATGAACTGGCATGATAATCTCACGACGCATCCTCAGCATCACCAGCAGTCATCGTGATAATGCGCTTTGATTGGCACGCTTCCATAGAACCTGCGCCCATTCTGGAGCGATCGTTTTCTTTCCTTGGCTTGGTGCATTTTTGTAAGAATCTGGTAAGAAAATGCGCCGCTGCAAGTGCCTACAATTCTGCTGCTGCTGGGAGCATGTGCCGTGACGTTGCGTTTGCAGTAGAGGCTTATCGCCGGTCACCCCGCAAGCCAACCAGTTTTCTCGCCGCAAGTCGGGGCCGCGATGGGTCCCTTATTGTAGCCAGAGCGCGGTGCATGATGATGATGATGATGCTGAACTGACATGATAATCATCATGACGCATCCTCAGCATCACCAGCAGGCATCATGATAATTATGTCCACGCATCTTCTGCATCTCAAATCGGCTCCAACGGGACTCATGATGATGATCATAATGATGATGATGAACTGGCATGATAATCTCATGACGCATCCTCAGCATCACCAGCAGTCATCATGATAATCATGTCCACGCATCTTCTGCATCTCAAATCGGCTCTGATGATGATGATCATGATGAGCACCGTGATGATGATGATGATGATGATGATGATGAACTGAGATGCTGGTCATTATCGTCATCATCATCATCATCATTGTCATCATCATCGTCGTCACCATCGTCATCATCATCGTCATCATCATCGTCATCATCATGGATGATAACCATCATCCTGCATCCTCTGCATCACCTCGTTATCGTCATCATGATCGTCATCATCATCATCGTCATCATCGTCATCATCATCGTCATCATCATCGTCATCATCATGGATGATAACCATCATCGTGCATCCTCTGCATCACCGGCAGTCGTATGTCTACGCATCCTCTGATGGTGGTCATTATCGTCATCATCATCATCATCGACATCATCGTCATCATCATCATCGTCATCATCGTCATCATCACCGTTGACATCATGGACGATAACCATCATCGTGCATCCTCTGCATCACCAACAGTCATGATGATAATCAGGACTACGCACCCTCTGCATCTCCAATCGGCTCTAACGTCAACCTTGAAACGTATATAAAAAGATAAGGACTTCAACGATTTGATGTGATATAATGACAAGCGTGTCATCATCATCATCATCGTCATCATCATCAGCATCATCCTCGATGATGTGATGACGATGAGCATGTCATCATCACCATGCATGATGGTGGTCATCATCGTCATCGTCACCATCAGCAGCATCATCATCATCATCGTCATCGTCATCATCACCGTTGTCATCATGGACGATAACCATCATCGTGCATCCTCTGCATCACCAACAGTCGTGATGATAATCATGACTACGCACCCTCTGCATCTCCAATCGGCTCTAACGCTACCCTTGAAACGTATTTAAAAAAGATAAGGATGACAACATCATGTCTCTAATGGGACTGATGATGATGATCATCATTAGCACCGATGATGATGATGATGATGATGATGAACTGGCATGATAATCATCATGACGCATCCTCAACATCACCAGCAGTCATCGTGATAATGCGCTTTGATTGGCACGCTTCCATAGAACCTGCGCCCATTCTGGAGCGATCGTTTTCTTTCCTTGGCTTGGTGCATTTTTGTAAGAA